TATTATGCATGCTTATCACTTGTTGTTGCTTGATTGCCAATAACAAGTTATTAGTTGTTATTATTCAATGAAGGTTGGCAATAATTATGGAACAACATAATAGAGGTTAAATAGTAGACTCGTGAGAATGGAGATACACTTAAGTGGATTACTCTTGCATTTCATGAAGGAAACAAGAGTAGATCTAGTTATTCACCATGAGAATAGGGAAAACTAGTCTAGTTTAGGCCATTTCCACATGAAAATAGGAATTGGTAAGATTGGAAATGAATCTCTAATTAAACAAGAGTTGTAATAAGAGGTAAATCTATTTACTTGTATCTTTTATGCCATATGTGGACTCTACATCTATCGACTTAAGTATTTAGTGAATTGACTCCATTGTTACCTTGCAAGTTATCTAGTTAAGACTAGTTAGATAGTAGTAATTATAACTTTTCCTGCTCTAATTGATTATTAGTCTAAATAATAGAGTAAGTAAGGTCTTAGTACTTGTTAAGTTGTCCCCTATGGGATTGACCCTATATATGCCCTAAACTACTAACTTGCCTGTATACTTGCAGTAAAACGAGTGTAATTTAGAATTAAATGTAGACACCAAATTTTTTATTTTAAACTTTATTTGTTTAATTAATTTAATTTTGGCTTTATTAGTTTTCAATTTTATTTTATTTTATTTTATTTAGGGTTAAAAGCATTTTTTATCTACTAAATTTCAGAAAAGAAAAGAAAAAAAGAAAAAAAAAGAGGAAAAAAGTAAAAATGACAAATGGGGGCATGTAATGGGGACAAGTATCCCTTTGTGTATTAGACAATAAGGCACCTAAGGGGTTAGGTGTTAGACACTTGGAGGCCCAAGATTTGAAGAAAAAAATAACAAAAAGGAAATGGGGATGGCCGGCAGAAAAAAAAAAGAAGAAGAAAAAGCCACGGAAAAAAAAGAGGGCTTGGGACAAAAGGAAAAACTGACCAAGGAAAAGGAAAAAAAAAAGCGCGGGGGAAGGCTGGGGAAGTTTTGGGGAAGGTCGAAGGAGCTTCGCGAGAGAAAAAAGACAGGGGAAGATTGGAGTGGCAGCTAGGGTTGGGGGAGAGAATGAGAGACAAAAAACAAGAGGAAAACAGAGTTGGCGGGGGAGTAGGAGGAGATAACAGCGGAAGGAGGAGGAAGCATAGAATCTGGATGGCGGCTAGGGTTAGAAAGCAAGAGTGAAAAGTGAGAGGGGCAGCTTAGAGTGAAGTTTGACGGCGGAAAAGAAAAAGGCAGCTACGGGGTTGAAAGGAGAAGGGGAGTTCTCGACGAAAAAGAAAGGAGGTTCTGGGAACAGGCAAGGAGCAAGGAAAACGAAGAGAGCTGGGGAAGAAACTAAGAGAAAAAGGGGGAGCTTTGTGGCTGGAGTTGTAAGAAAGCTAAGGGAGAAGCGAGAGATCAGAAATAGAGAAAAGAAAGAAGAAAATCGACGAGAAAAAGAAGAATTGCTTGTTGCAATTTCTGGGACAAAGATGACTTCCGGGCTCCATTTCAAGGGGTTTTTCTCTGCCAGCTTAGCTTCTTTCAAGAAGATCTTGATTTCTGCTCAATCTACAAAGTGAAAGGAGGGTTTTTGTTCAGATATCTTGAAGGAAAAACAACTGGAAGATTGCCGAATCTGGCCGTGAAGGAGCTGCTCCGCCTCTACTGCACCAGTTTCGACTTTGAACGAAAACGCAGCAGAAACTCTTGCTTTGGCCCCAGCAATTCTGGTGATCGTTTCTGAGCTTCTCCTATACTAGCTTACGTCCCTTATTGTTTATAGATGGAGATAGTTTCCTTTGGCTGAATCTTTCATGAAGTTTCAGAATTATTGCGTGAGCTTTTCTCTTTTCCTTGAATGAATTGTTTCCCTCGGGTTTTATTGGCTTCTGATATTGCGGAAAAGCTGTCTTTTGTGGCTTGAATTCGTCAAAAGATTAGGATGGATCAATGTTCAATGGTTCTGGGGTTGGGTTAAGTGAATGTTGGCCCTTAACGTTTCCATCGTAAGCTACCGGATGCTGGCTTTTGTTTTATTTTCTGCTGCTGTGAGATTTCTGTTTGGATACTCAAACGATTTGTTTAGATTACGTTAATCAAAATGGGATGAAGTTCTTGTGGTATTTGGGTTGACAAATGTATAGCTTTTTCTATTTGAGTTTGCGATTGATCTTGTTAGAGAAGCTTGTAAAGTTGCAGCAAATTGCGAAGGCATGTTGCAGATGAAAGATTGCTTCGTAGCATGCATGAAAATAATTCCTGAAAACTGCACTTTGGCCTCACAAGTTTCCTCTTATACTGCTATGGCCAAAACAATTGGAAAAATCAATCAAATTGATCCCCAAAATTCTTCCATTTTTGCAAATTATGCCCCTACTTGTTTTAATTTCTTAGGCATGGGTTGTTTGCCTTCTTTAAGTGCCTTTGATTGATGCAATTTCATGCTTATTCTCATTTCATATGATTATTTGTTAATTAAAGTGGCGCCTTGACCTTTTTATTGTTTTGAAACTAATTTTTCCTCATTAGAGCTTCAACTCCAGGGAGGTACACTCTACCCCTTATCTTGATTCTACTTGACTTTATACGCCCCTACGTGACTTTATGTGCTTAATTGATGCCTTTTTGAATGTTTTCATTTCATTTATTTATTTATTCGCTTTATTTGTTTTAATTTGTTCAAATTTGATTATTTAGGGGGCATTCAAATGTCAAGATGTAATAGTTTGGTATTCATTTTACTTATTCCTTACCCCTTAAATTGTAGTAGGCCCCGCCAAATATAATAGATAGGGCTTATGTGCTATGTGCTTGTGTGTGCCTATGTGTTTAATTGCTTTCCTAGGATTTGGCATCTAGATATACATGCTTACGTGTTATGTGAATTACGTGCTCACATGCCTACTTGCTTTAACTATGCCTATTGGTTATGTATATGGTGGATGTAGATGCACGATATGGCCGTGGCTAGTCCAATGCTAATCATGGCTATTTATTCCCGATTGCTCACAAGTCCAATGCTTGTGAGAGAGCGTTAGTAGAGGGCTAGTCTAATGCTAGACCCAATAGGGCCGTCCTTCGCTAGTACATACTCGCATGCCTTCACTACATTTCATTTATTTTTCCTTTTTGTATTTTACACTTTGCATGAACCCTTACCCTTTTTCCGCATTTGGAACACGATCTTTAGAACTTTGCATTTCATTCTAGTTATTAGGGTCATCTGCTTGATTAGGTTAGGGAGTCACCCTTCTGGTAAGGGAAACAGACGAGTTTGGCTACACATAGGCTTAGCACGCTTGTTTTCTTTCTAACCAAAAGGCAAATCAAAAGTCACGATTTAGGGTCTCCTCGTACCCGTCTTGCTCGCATTCCTCTAGGCATCATGCATTTCTAAGGCACGTTACCATTTGCACACTATCACCTTACCCACTATCACTTTACACTCTCACCTTACACACTCTCATCCTACACATTCTCACTTCACACACTATCACTTTATACATTCTCACTCTTCACACTATCACTTTATACTCTCTCACATTTGTACATGTGCACTTTTACAAACTCATTTGCACCCTTGCACTTTACACACCCATTGGCGCATTTGCACTTTGCACACTTACACCTGGCACTCGTTTTTACACTCAAAGACATTGCCGTACACTCTCTTTTTCTCATTATTGACTCGAGCATTCATTTGTATTTATTCGTGACCTCTTTGAGGGTTCACCATTGGCTATCACAATTCATGTGATTAGCACCAATCGAGCCTCAAAAGAGACATTTTGTCCCATTCGAACCACTCATTAGATTTAGGTTCGCATTCATGTTAGACGCATCCAAATGCAATACATCTTTTGGTGAAATTAAGGAAAATTATGACTAAATCATGCAACTAGCTTAGGCTAGGGTAAAAGGGTGCCTTAAACTTTGTCTTTGCCTTCCCTTTTATCAACCATGACCCCCGAACTCGTCTCTCTGATTTTTGTAGGCTAGGAGTCATCTAAAAAGGTTTTTTACTTCACTTTTTCAACCATGTACCCCAACTCAATACTAAGTGGCGACTCCTGCTTCTCCGTTTAAAAACCTTTTTAGATTATTATTTTGCCAAACCGTCGCATTTAAAAGTCCCATGGCCTTTTCCTTTATTTCTCACATTCACACACTTCACATATTTCACACACACTACACATTATGATTTCAAAACAACTTTTTTTTTATTTTCCAAAAATGGGGCGCGACATTAAACTTGTACTTATATAAAAAATTCAGCAAATTTTTGGCGCCAATGTCGGGGAGCTGCAATATTAGGACCAAGCAAGTTTTATTAATTTAGACACTTTCTTTTAATTGTAGTTAAAACTTTTGTATGGTCTTTGTATAGATTTTTGTTTGAGTCACTTTTTAGTGTAAAATTACTAACTTTCTTATTTTCTTTTTGTTTGTAGTGTATGCACCGAATTTTACGGGTAGTCGCACCATTTGATCCGAAAATTGAAAGGACATTGCGTGGACAAGGAAAGCGTACACTACAACAAGAGAAAGAAGAGGTGCAACAACAAATTGAGGAAATCGCCATAAAACTACCTTTTGAAGACGAAATGGTAGAAAACGAAGCAAATAAGCGAGCTCTTAGAAATTTTGCTTTACCGAGAACCCAAGGATCTCAAACAAGTATAGTACGGCCGACAGTAAATGCTAAGAATTTTGAGATTAAATCATCATTAATTCAAATGGTTCAACAATCTCAATTTGAATTTAATGCCGTAGAGGATCCAAATGCCACTTAGCCATATTTTTGAAGATATGTGCTACTATTAAAATGAGTAGAGTTAGTGAGGATGTTATAAGGCTAAGGTTGTTCCCATTTTCTTTAAGAAATAAAGCTAAAATTTGGCTACACTGTCATGCTCCTAATATTTTCACTATTTGGGATGATTTGTCTAGAGCATTCTTGAATAAGTATTTTTCACCGGATAAAATGGCTAAGTTTAGAATGGACATTATTAGTTTTCGTCAACTGGAGAGAGAATCATTATATGAAACATGTGAAAGGTTTAGAGATTTGTTTCGAAAATATCCACACCATGGACTTCCCGATTGGTTAATCATACAAATCTTCTATAATAGTTTATCCTTTTCTACTAAAATGACTATTGATGCAGCCGCAAGTGGAGTTTTGATGGCAAAATCACTCCAAGAATCTCAAAGTTTGATAGAGGAAATGGCGACAAATAATTATCAATGGACTAATGAAAGAGGTAATCCAAGGTACCAAGCAGGTATGATCGAAATGGATACTATCAATATATTTAGTGCCCAAATAAGTAATATAATGAAGTGTTAAGTAGACAAGTCGAATGTGGTTCAAGTTCATCTAATGTACATGTAACTTAATAAGTGTGTTGATCTTGACCAAACTCAATTTATTAATAATAGGAATGTTCAAAATAACCCATAATCGAATACATATAATCCAGGGTGAAAAAATCATCCAAATTTTAGGTGAAAAGATCAAGACAATTCTCAAAGACCGGCTAATCCATCAGAATTCCAACCGAGACAACCACAAGTGGATACTAAATCGGGTTGGAAAATTACGGTAGAAAAGCTTGTCAAGGGCACTTCAGAGAGATTTGAGCGACTAGAGGGGCTGTTGGATCAATTGATCGGGATGTATAGAAACGTAGAGGTCCAAATTGGTCAAATTGTCAATTATATTAACAATCAAAATCAGGAAAAATTACTTAGTAATACGGAGGTGAATCCAAGGAAACATATCAAGGTCATTACTCTTCATAGTGGTAAATGATTAGAGGATCCTTTGGTGGAAGAAAATGAAGGGAACAATGAGTGTGAGAAGTAAGGAGATGAGCGAGTGGAACAAGAGATAAGTGTGAGAGAATGTAGTAGGGAAAAGTCGAAAGAAAATCAACCTTCATCCTCCACTACCATTCTGATACCTCTGGCAGTTCCATTTCCTCAACAACTCAAGCCAAATAAGTTTGACAAAGATTTTGAAAAGTTTGTCAAAATTTTCAAGTAATTGCATATTAATATTCCTTTCATTGATATTATTTTATAGATCCCTTTATATGCAAAATTTCTCATATTAATATTCCTTTCACTGATATTATTTTATAGATCCCTTTATATGCAAAATTTCTCAAGAAGATCATAATGTGAAAGAGAAAATTGGAGGATCACAAAACGATAGCATTAATGGAGGAGCACGGTGTCGTTATACAAAACAAGCTGTTGCCGAAATTGAAAGATCCGGGGAGTTTTTCTATACCCTACATCATCGATAACATTGAATTTTCTAAGGCATTATGTGACCTTGATGCTAGTGTATCATTAATTTTTTTGACTGTGGTTGGACAATTAGGTTTACATGAATTAAAACGCACTAATATTACTTTACAGTTAGCTGATCGGTCTATTAGATATTCATTAAAAGTTTTGGAAAATGTGTTGATTAAAGTTTAAAAATTCATCATTCCTGTGAATTTTATGGTATTAGATATGGAGAAAGATATTCTTGGTAGACCATTTTTAGCAATTGTGGGTACTATCATTGATGTCAAAAATGACAAACTCAAATTTCAAGTAGATGAAGAAGAGGTAGTATTTAACTTGAAGGAAAAATACCATTCTTTTACTGGCCATGCTTGTTTCATTGGCACTATTGAAAAACTAACTCAAGAGTTGAATCAAGTCAATCTTGATTTTGATCCTCTTGAGCTTTGTTTAATGAGTGCAGGAACGTAGGAGGGAAATGATGAAGAAATTGAAGTATTGATCAAATATTTGGATTTTCAAACACTTTATAGAAGAGGTAATGTTTATGAGACTCTTGGTCAAGGAAAAGGACTCCCCCCACTTTCGGAGATTAAACTGCCAAAATTAGAACTCAAACCGCTTCTGTGACGGCCCCACCTCCCCCTAAGGCGAACCAGAGGGTTCGGCGGGCCGCCTGCCCAGCTCTCGCCGGGATTCAGTCGATCACTACAATCCTCAAATGAATTACAATATAAATCTCAAATATACATCACATGGTCCACAAACATACATCCAAGTCTCCAATAATTACATGTCACAAATGTAGCGGAAACTGATTCCAATCGTGGAATGTATACTTACATCCATATCAATTTCAAATATTTATACAAGACCAACTCGTACATAAAATAGATCCAAACTTAAACTGTACACGATATAAGCCATCCAGTCACGTGAATAAGCACAACAAGCCCTTCCTTCGCCTTGAGCCCTGTGGGGGGGGAAATAAAATATTTTTGGGGTGAGCTAAAAGCCCAGTGAGTAACCAGTAAAATCAGTAATCAAATAGTTTTCACAAAAATTCATTTCATTGATGTCATGGTTCAGAAATCAGATATACGTATTTTTGCTCTCGTGAGCCAGTGAAATCATTGTAATGTTTTAGAAGTTCAATAAGTAACCGGGGGTAAAAATGTAATTTTGTTACAGGTCAACATTTGCACAGTGAGAGTAAAACAAAAGCAGAAAATGACACCACATGGTAATTCCACAAAGCTCAATGAGCTAAAATCTCAATAAGGTTCCGAACATGAAATTTCATAACAAAGCCAACACATTAACCATCAATAATCAATAATTCAAGAAACAATTACAATGGAAAGCGATAGTAACATATTCATTAAAAGGATACCGCTCACATGGAGTTATTCATTTGTTCGTTCCCCTGACATTTCCCCTTATTCCTCCAATTATTTGAAAATTTTATTTTTATAAATAAACCCTCGTTCATCTTTTTATTCGTTCATCCCCTTTTCCGGACGTTGACCGGACTCCACCCATCCGACGTTGGCCGGACTCTACCCATCCGGACGTAGCCGGACTACAAGGTAATACTCGAGTATACCAAATTCACCCAGGGTCACCATATCGCCCGACCGAGTCCGCTTCTGGCTCAAGTCGATCGGTAACAAAGGGCAGTGGCCAATTCAGCCCAAAGGCTTACATCATGCGCAACTAGCATTTAATCATTAATCATTGAAAATTTCATATTTATTTAGGTCGAGTGCGATAAAGTACACACTCGCCTAGAAAACTCGTTTTAACAATCATCGAAAGCACTTAACACATTATCAATCAATAATAACAAGCCAATAAGTCAAGAATTACAGCAAACAAGGAACACTCATATGCAAGCACGCATGATATGCAAGAAAACAGTTCAAAAGTAACTTTGGAAATAGTTTAAAAGTAAATAATGCAAGAAAACGGTACAAAAGTAACTTCAGAAATAGTTTGAGGTCACTCACCTCAATGGCTCAGAAATCATCCATTATGTATCATTGCCTTGCTCAAACCCAAGTCTTAGATCACAAACTCAATGCAAACAAATCCTTTAAAAGTTCGGACAGCACTTCCCCTACATTTGCTAACTTTTCTAGCCATCGTGGCTTCATTATTTTCTCAGCCAGTTCCAAAGGTACACACACAACAACAAGTTCATCCATAGTCATTCAGCAAGCTCCAAGTAATACTAGTGCAAGTCAAGCTAGGGGGAAAAAAAATCCGGAAATGAAACTTAAGCTCAAAACCAGAAAAACAGTTTTGACGTCATTTTACGGTAATGGTACCAAAGGTGTTATGATTGTCGGAAGAAGGTGCAAGACCCACCGTTTCGAAGATAAGAGATAGGTCTACAACAATGTAGAAGGCCACTCAGTCCAAATCCTAGCACAACTAGGTCAAATGTGCCAAATACTCAACCGGAAACACCAAAAACAGGTTTACAAATCACATAATGCTGTAATTACTATAACTCAGTCTATACAGGTCCAAATGCCGAAATTCGAAAGGCATATGGTAGCTAAGACATCCAGATACATTTCATCAGAAGACACCAACACCTAAATCCAAAGCAATTCCAGTCAAAATGGCCAATTACAAGTGCAGTTTTCGCATTCTGATCAACCCAGAACAGCAACAGTAAAATCGGCATATCTCACTCTACACTAATCCAAATGACCTGAAATTTTACAGGCACTTCAAACTCATCAATACCTACAACTTTCATGTTTTGAGGAAAGTCCAATTCGGCCTCTAACATGGTGCAATAAATTCGGGCAGAATGAAGAACTACAAAACCTAATTTTCTGAAATTTCTTCCAAAATAGAAATTGATTGCACTTAATCACTTTTTCCACCTCCTAGAGTCATTAAACATCATTTCCAATCATCATACATGACCACCCAATCATATCCCTATGAAAACAGAAAAAACCCCAAAAATAATAAAACTTCACCAATTCAACCAAACTCAAGAAATAATCCATGAAATTGCATCTTATAACACCACTAATCATGAATTGAACATCATTAGAGGAAGGAGAGGTGTTCATCCACCACTTACCTTAGCAAAACAAGAGGGAGAGCTACTTGTCACCTTAAGCTTCCAAACAACTTCACCAAACAACTCACTATCACTAAAAGAAGAGGTTTTATGGAGTAGAAACTAGATCAAGCAAGTGTTTTGGAGGATTTGAGCTAGATAATTGCCAAACTTTGAAGAGGTTTTTTCTTCCTTCTTTGCTAGAGAGAGAATCAGCCAAGAGGTTGAAGACAAGAATGAATTTTGTGTGATTTTTAAGATATTTAAGCAATTGGTCAAAAAGTCATGAAAATGAATAGTAAGTCATAAGCTATTTCCAATACAATGGTGACACTTGTCACCTCCATAAATGCAATCTTATCTTTTCTTTTTCCTCTCACATCAATCAATTCACATCCTCTACTTATCCCTTAACACCCGATAAATTTTACACAGTATCCGGAATTTAACCTAATTGGCAGAATTTTTCCGAACTTTTCGCACTTGTGGGTCCCACGTCCGTTATATATTCTTAATTTTCTAAAAACTCTCCAATACTAGGAAAATCATTTTAAAACTATTTTTGCTCATAAACTTTATCTGGGGAATTTTTCTAATCAAGAAAATGTAGAAAAACGGGCGATTAAAAAAATAAACCCTAGAAAATTACAAAATTTCCGGGTTCTCAAACTCATTTTTTTTTCGGGGCGTCACAGCTTCCCAACCATCT